AGCCCACCCAAGACAATGTGTAGTGCCAAACCTCCACTATTAGCACAGGATTCCTAATTCTATGAAGATTAGGCTACACAAAAAAAAAAAAAAAAAATGGGGCAAGGAAAACTGCGGAGGGAAAAGGTAATCAAGTTGGATTTAAAAAAAAAGATACTGAAAAGAGGAAGGACAGATTGGAAAACATGCAAAGGGAAGAGGACTGCCTTCCTTTTGGATAGGACAAAAACTGCCTGCATAAACTGGGGAGTTGAGAGCCAACTCTGACTCACTGGCCAGCATTTTGCTGCCTGAAATATTATATTTCTGGATATATCTGATCTGCTGATTCCAAATATAGCACCAGTGTTTTTTTATCGGCTCTAGTTTTTGAGAACATATGCCATCTACCAGTTGCCATCTCCTCACTCATAGAAAATCATAACCATATCTAAGAAACTAGAACTGATGTGGTCTATCCAATACAATTTTCTGAATCAGCACTCCAAATAACCCCAAGAATAGGCCTAAAAACCAAGACACAGGAAATGTTTTTGCTGGGCTGTGATAACTGTAGGTTTTATATGGTATTCTATGAAAGATAAATGACTGATTGACCTTTTCATTACCAGAAAAAGAGATTTTGTCAAAACATTTGGAAAAACTTGGTGACATATAGGGCAGCCAGTTGGTCTCAAGTTTTGGAACAATCTAAGGTTATAAAGGCTTTAAAACGAGACTAGTAATTTTAATTTTCTTTATACCCAATTGTTTAAAGAAATGTTAAACATTCAATGTTCTAAAACCCGATTCACTACTGTGCATTCTGTTTGCCTAATGCATGGGCTATGCACTGAATAATGGCTTCAGACCATACTGCATCTTACAAGGTGAGCTCCCTCCTTGGTTTGGTAAAGATGAGTCATTTCACTGGTTCTCTCACAATGTTCTGGCTTGTGCAATACACAAGGACCCAGAATCTTATCACATTGGGATATACTCCGTTCATATAAATATGCATCCCGTATTTGTGTAGGACTAAATCCATACTGGTGGCAAGCACAGGAAAGGAATGTTGCAGCCTTCCCAAAACAATGACACTTCCCCTTCCCAGAAACTTGGATCATCTAATCCCATCAAATGTCAATATTACTGCTCTTGGAACAATAGAACTGGCACAGACTCGACAAGACCCTCTCTTGGGAATTTGTTATTTTAACTCACCAGTGGTCTTTGCTTCAAACCCGGTGAGATTTATTTGGGGAAAGGGAAATTTTTATTGGCTTCAACTTCACCATTGCAGATCCTCAGGGCGACCCCTGGAGAGGGCGGCTGTCTTCCGTCTGGGAGCCTTTCTGAGGGGGGATTTCCTGCCTTGGAAGTCTTGAACAATTTTAGCTGATGGAATGCATGCTGATTTTATGATCAAATGTAAAAACAGTGTCTCAGAACTGTATTAAATGTCTTCAAAAACAGCCTCAGTGAAGGATAGTGTGTCTCCTCTGAATGACTGCCTGAAGAGGTAATGAACTGGATGAGGAAAAACAAACTGAAGCTAAATCCAAACAAAACAGAGATGCTTGCCATCAAGAGTTCTAATCTGGGATGAAGGGTGTGTCAACCAGTTCTGGATGGGTTTACACTCCCCTTGAAAGACTGTGTTTGCAACTTGGGAGTGCTCCTGGATCTGTCTCTCCAAATGTCAGCCCAGGTAGATGTGATGGTCAGGCGTGCTTACTATCTGCTTTGGCTGATATGCCTCCTAGATTTGGAGGACCTGAAGATGGTAGCACACACACTGCTAACCTCAAGGTTGGACATCTGCAATGACTTTACATTGGACTACCTCTGTAGAAAGTTGGGAAACTCCAATTAGTTCAAAACATGGCAGCCAGATTGGTTATAGGAACATCTGTGAGACTATTACATCCATACTACATCCATACTAAAATTATTCTACTGGTTGCCAATTAGTTTCTAGGCAAAGTACAAAGTATTGACTTGATTGTGACCTTTAAAGCTCTATATGATTTGGGTCCAGGTTACCTACAGGACCGTTTTCTTCCACACAATCAGTTCTTTAGGACACTGAGGCCCTCTGGGCCACACTTACTCCAACCAACCAGAACCTGAGTGGCGACTGTCACCCAGAGGACCTTTTCATTGGCCACCCCACATCTGTGGAACAACTTGCCGAAAGAGCTTAGACAGCAAAACGAGGTGAACATGCAATTAAAACCCATCTCTTCCGGAAGGCCTGGTAAGTCAATTTTCAATCATGAGTTTTGATTGACATTCAGTTGCTATGTCCATTCTGTATCTGTGTTTGGGGCAAGTTTTTAAAAAAATGTATTTTTGTATTTTTATCTATGTAATGAAATAATAATAATAATAATAAACTTTATTTTTAACCTGCCTATCTCCCCGAGGGGACTCAGGGCAGGTTCCATTAAAAAACACTATGGCAAACATTCGATGCCAAGAACCAAACAACATATAGCAAATCAAAAACAAACTCAATAAAAGTTAATATAACAGCACAAATTAACATAGCATAGTACAACCCATTGTATATATTTTATGTATTGTATATATTATATGTTCAAGGGTTTTTTACTTTGTTGTACCTTGCCTCCAGCCATCAGATTTGTCATTATTTCTATTCTAAATCAAAAAATGCAATTAGAACCCTATGTGCGATTTCTCAATTTCTGTGACGTTTTGCAGATGGATTTCAACGGTTAAATGGAATGGGACAAACGTCATGTGAGAGAACCCGTTCAGAATAGTGCCCCCGAGTTACAAACATCTGACTTCGAAATGACTCATAGTTAAGAACAGGGGTGAGAGAACAGGAAGTGAGAGTAATTGACCATTTGGAAGGAAAATCCACTCCTAGAAGAGTTATCATGGGGAAAAGTCTCAACTGAAAAGTATCATGTCTCAACTGAAACCACATTTTTGGAAGGAAATGCAGTGTTGAATATATTGGCTTTATCCCTACTGCTTCCACCTCAAGAATGTTATGCATTGGGTGGAAGGTCTGAAGAAGAAGCCATTCAGTTGTAATGTCCTGAAGGTGGAGACAGGAGGGATCGTGGCATTGAGACAGTTGCACACTTCCCTGTTCCTCCTCCATTTGTTCATTGAATTGTTCTCTAATGGAGCCATAGCACAACAACAATTTCTTTCTGGGTTAGTTTGGTTTTTGGGAACCACTGAGGTAGGAAAACATTGCTTGTTTGTAACTACTACATCATTCTTAGGTGCCTAAACCAAGATGCTAAACCAGTATAGCTTTTTTTAAAAAATGGAAAGGACACCATAATTACTGGGGAATATTAATTTTACTGTGGTAGAATTGGCTCTCACAATGTCATTTTGAGCTGTTTGACAATCAGAAGCAAAGACCACCAGCATTGAAGCGATGTCCTCYGCCATCAACTCCGCATGTTGTCTGGATGCCCRACCACTGTCTCCCAAAGCAGTTGCTCTATTCCAAACTCAAGAACGGAAAACAATGTTGGTGGACARGAAAAGAGATTTAAATTTGGGCTCAAAGCCAACCTTAAAAACACTGAGAACTGGGAAACCCTGGCCCTTGAGCGCTCTAGTTGGAGGTGAGCTGTGACCAGCAGTGCTGCAGAATTTGAAGAGGCATGAATGGAGGGCGAAAGAGAGAGACATGCCAAGAGGAAGGCGCATCAAGCCAACCCCGACCGGGGCCGCCTTCCACCTGGAAACCGATGCCCTCACTGTGGGAGAAGATGCAGATCCTGAATAGGGCTCCACAGCCACCTGCGGATCCACCCCCAGGTTACCACTCTTGGAGGACCATCATCCTCGGACTATGAGGCATCACCTAAGTAAGTAAAGTAGGGGTCCTCAAACTTTTTAAACAGAGGGCCAAATCACAGTCCCTCAAACTGTTGGAGGGCTGGATTATAATTTGAAAAAAACAYGAATGAATTCCTATGCACACTGCACATAYCTTATTTGTAGTGCAAAAAACACTTAAAAACAATACAATAATTAAAATGAAGAACAATTTCAACAAATATAAAATTAGTATTTCAATGGGAAGTGTGGGCCTACTTTTGGCTGATGAGATAGGATTGTTGATGTTGTGTGCTTTCAAGTCGTTTCAGACTTGACCCTGAGCGAGGGCCAGGTAAATGACCTTGGAGGGCCGTATCCGGCCYCCGGGCCATAGTTTAAGGACCCCTGAAGTAAAGTAAGGAAGGAAGGAAGTAGCTGAAAAGCAGATGGAAGATTGATCAGAGGAATAGGTTAAAGATAGTGTGAAGTCTGGTTTGTATGTATTAGTAGAACAGTCCTTTTGGGAAGAAAGAATAGATTGAATGAAACACATATTGAAACGTTGTTCTGTAATCAGCAAGCATTTGATCTTATGTACCACTACGCTTATACCACGAGAATGCTACAAATAAACAGTGACTGTTTCCCCATCAAGCAAACTGTTTCTCTCTCACAATCTCACGGTTAGCGATCTCTCTGCTTTTGTTTCAGGTACCTATTGATCTACTCACATTTGCATATTTTCATGCTGCCAGGTTGGCAGAAGCTAGGGCTAACAGCGGGAGCTCACCCTGCTTCCTGGATTCTAACTGCCAATCTTTGGGTCAGCAAGTTCAGCAACTCAGTGTGCCACCAGGGGGCCCCATACAGTTATGAAGTAGCAACGAAAATAATTTTATGGTTAGGGGTCACCACAACATGAGGAAGTGTATTAAGGGGTGGCGGCATTAGGAAGGTTGAGAGCCACTGCTTTAAAATGTACGTGTTCCGATAATATATACACATTCAACTTAATAACAACCTGCAGAACCTATCTTGTTGGTAACTTGGGGGCTGCCTGTACCTCCCAAAGTGATAAGGTCCACATGCGCAGCGTTCAGAGGCACGGCCTCTCTGCGGCGCTATCCCCCCCCCCCCCCCCCCCCCCTTTTCCCTATTCCGCGCGCTCGCCCGCCAGGTCACAAGGCCGGAGGCGGCTCACATCCCGCGCGCGTGGCGCATGGCTGGCTGGGCGCGCGCAAGCGATGCAACGGGGAGCAAGCGCGGCGGCGGCGGCGGCGCGGTCCAACAGCAGATTGCGGGCAGCCAATGCCGAGGAGGCTTTGAAGTGGCACCAAATTCCTCCCAGCCAATCGGCGCCCGCCTCTCCGTGCCAAGGTATCATCCCCCCATCCCTGCATTCGCCTCTTCTCCAGCCACTTGAGCCTCGCTCCAAGCGAAGTGCGCGTGTCTAAACCCTGGACCGTTGCAGCATTCAAGGGGAGGGGAGGGGGGGTAGTGTGGGCGAAATCTGCCCGGGTTATGCATTTTTTTTTATTACTTAAAGGTGGGTTACTCGAGTTCGTGCCGCCGCTGAGGACTTAAATACGCCTCCGAAGGACAGGAGGGATTCTCCACGAAAGACTTGCTCCAGGTCGTTCCCAGCCGCGCCAGAGCGAGCTTGCGATTGGCAATCGAGAGCGCGAATCGCCTCATTCCCGGGCAGAGAGGAAGAAAACGAGAAGGGGGGCGCGCGCGCATTCCCCCTTTTGCAGAGCGGCGAGATGCCCGGATTGTCCTCCCAGGAGCAGGTGAGTAGGAGGCGCGCGCCTCCCCTGGGGTCGCGCGCGGCAGAGGAAAGGAAGCGCGCGGCTGGGAAAGGCTTTGCCTCGAATGGAAAAGAAGCGGATGCGTCGCCGACGTGATGCGCGCGCCATTCTATAATATATATATATATATTTTGGAAGCCTAGCGTTGACTCGGCTGGGATTTAGCCTCGCTCCTCTTCCTTCCATAGAAGGCGGTACTAAAGTATGTCCCCTCTGTAGAATTAAACAGGGAAGTTATTGAAACCTAAGGCAGGATGCCATGGGAGACATTACAAGAAAGCCCATCATCTTTCTCCTTTTGAAGCCCCATCTAACCACCATATAATCCAGTTTCTGAATCCATTGAGCTGCTTTGAATTGGACTATATGGCAGTGTAGATCAGGCATGGGGCAAACTTGGGCCCTCCAAGTGTTTTGGATTTCAACTCCCACCATTCCTAACAGCCTTATGCCACTTCCTTTCCCCCCTCAGCTGCATAAGGTGTTTTGGACTTCAACTCCCACCATTCCTAACAGCCTCAGACCCTTTCAGCCACTTAAGCAGGAAAGGGAAAAGGGGACTGAGGCTATTAAGAATTGTGGGARTTGAAGTCCAAAACACCTTAAGTGGCTGAGGGGACAAAGGAAGGGGACTGAGGCTGTTGGGAATGGTGAGAGTTGAAGTCCAAAACCTGGACTGCCCATGCCTGGTGTAGACTCATAATCCAGTTCAAATCATAATCTGCATTCAGAAACTGGGTTATATAGCAGTGCAGATCCAGACTGAAATTATTTGRGCCCTTTTTCATATGTTCAGATAGCTTTTTCCCCTCAACATTTCAGAAAATCTAAAACGATCTCTTTTCCCGTATCTTTATTTATCAAAATATTGATAGCCTTTCTTATCAAATATTGATAGCCTGTGGAAYCCACTTCCCACTGAGGTAAGATCAGCTCCGTCCCTCCTGTCATTTAGGAAGAAATTGAAGTCGTGGTTCTGGGACCAGGCTTTTGGACAATAGACATAGATAGCACTTTGGACATGGAATTGGATATGGAAGTGACTGGAATGATGTTACGGCTATTAATACTTTTTTTTTTACTGTTTTAATGAATGCTTTACTTATTGTTTTAATTGTTATTATATTGCTGTGTTATATGTAGTGGCATCGAATTGCCAAATGTAAGTTGTCCTGAGTCCCCCTTCGGGGGTTGAGAAGGAACAGGATAGAAATACTGGAAATAAATAAATAAATAAATAAATAAATAAATACTTTCATAACATCTCAGCTAAGACATACAGAACTGCATTCGTTGGAATAGCCTAGTAATTTCATTATGACTAAGCAAGTAGGTGGTACATTTACCATATAAGCAAGGATACTATATATGCAAAATCTTCTAGCCATGTGGGAAAATTGTATTTTAGTTCTCTGATGCCAGACCCAGCGGCTGCTTCCTTTGGTGGCCTGAGTGTTCGGCGTGCAGCAGACGCAGCAGCGCCTTTCCGAACTGCGCTGCCACTCCCCTTAGAAGACAGATGTTTTGGACAGGTTTTAAACAACTTAATAATAGACATTTTTCATCTGCTTTTATGTGGAGCTTTGCTCAGCAACGCGGGGAGCAAAATTAATCAGATTACTTGGTCAAGAAATGTGTCATTTGTCTAACTCAGGCATGGGGCAAACTTCAGCCTTCCAGGGTATTTTGGATTTCAACTCCCACAATTCCTAACAGCTTCAGGCCCCTTCTGTTTCCTCCTCAGCTGCTTAAGAGAAAAGGAAAGGACCTGAGGCTGTTGGGAATTGTGGGAGTTGAAGTCCAAAACACCTGGACGGCCCAAGTTTGCCCCATGTCTGGTCTAACTCAGTGCCTGCAGGCCAAACAAAATTTTCCTAACTTCAGAGCCACAAGTGCTCCTGGCTTGCCATTTCCATCATCATCAGTCCATACGGCAGATAATCAAAAGTGATGGGGGTTGTCATTCAATAACATCTGGGGACCAAAATTGGGTAAAAATGAAAGAGTACTATGTAAAACAACTATCGTTGGCTCTCTGTATCCCACGGAGTCTCCATCCATGGTTTCAGCAGCCCTTTAAAGGAACATAAGGCCGATGTCACCTTAAGGCAGTGGTTCTCAACCTGTAGGTCCCCAGGTGTTTTGGCCTACAACTCTCAGAAATCCCAGCCAATTTACCAGCTGTTAGGATTTCTGGGAGTTGAAGGCCAAAACATCTGGGGACCCACAGATTGAGAACCACTGTCTTAAGGCCACTTTCTTGTGTAACACCTTAATAAGAGCATGACCCACTGACCCACCAGAAACACTATTATGAACAGATACTTACAGGATCACATTCTGAGAGCAAAATCAAGGAACTATGCCATGCTGTATAGAGCTTTTCAGACTGGTAGTCTTGAATCATTACAACAACCAGACTCTGGTTGTAGCTCCAGATAGTCTTTAAGTATGTGGCATATTGGTTGCCACTACAAGTATGTAAAATTAGGATTACTGAATTACTGAAACAAGGATGCAGTCTTATTTTTCCTTAGATTGTAAGTCTGAGGGCATTTGTGCTTTCCCCTCCCTCAACATATTCAAAAATCATATTTTTGCCCTCAGTGTATACATGAGGTCTATTTATACATGCGTACTCTATATACAGTACTTCCAAGTAAATGGGCTTAGCACTGCAGCTATATATGCATATCCAGAATTGTTTTCATCCCTCTCTGCCTTTTGTTTCTGCTGACCCATTTCGTAGATGTTTAGGGTTGCTATGGCACCACATTCTATATATTACCAGACAGATTTCCATTTGTCTACTACTGGATATGCTGGCTAAGCGTGATGGAAATTGCAACAGTACAGTTTCCAAAATCAATTTGGAAATGTTGCACTATTAATTCTGGTCATGGTTTGGAGAAAAGCACAGATGAAAACAGAGGTATTGGGGCTACTACTTGGGATGTGTGGCTCACAAAAGTTTCAAGGAAGGAGATTCCCCATGACCCTATGCATCTCCCTACCCTAACTTACTAAAATAGTTACAGTATGCTTCTGAACATGTTTTCTCAGAGGTAAGGTGTATTGCTTTCAGTGGCAATTAATTCCAAGCAGGTGCCTCCACTACCTCTGTTTTCATGGGATGAGTGCCCTTAATTTGCCTGCCTTTGTCCTTTGTGCCTAAGTTCTATTGGTACTTATCTGCTTTCGGAAATGTGCAAACACTATAGATGTATATTCTATTCAGGCCTTTTTTTTGTGCATTTACTGAACGTATTAGAAGGAAGTGGAACATTTTGCTACCATTATCTCTAAAGTTTTACCCCACTAATCTTGCCACATTATCATTGTTGTTATCTCCATAATCACCTATATCTTTCTTTTATATCCTGCTTTTATCTCTCGATTGAAATGCAAAGTTGCTCAAAACATTTAAAAAAACCAATGCAATTTAAAATCCACATCATACAGTACAAATATTAAAACAGAACTAATTAAAATCACTTGCACCACTTAAAACCTATTAAAATATTCAAATACCCTACAGCACCTCCTGGCTTGCTCTTAAAAACTTTCCTCTTTTAAAGCCTCCCTGAATAAAAAAAGTTTAGTTTGCCGCCAAAAGGCTATCTAGAAGCCCTTCCAGACAGGTCCTATATCCCAGGATCTGATCCCAGGTTTTCTGTTTATCCCAGATTATATGGCAGTATGGATTCATATAAACCAGTTTAAAGCAGAAAACTTGAGATCAGATCCTGAGATATAGGGCATGTTTGAAAGGGCCCAACGATGGGGCCATTCTGGTTTCCTTAGGCAAAGAGTTCCAGAGCCTAGGAGCAGCCACTGAGAAGGCCCTCTCTTGTACTCTAATAACTGTGCTTGTGATGATGATGGGATTAAGAAGAACCTCTCCTGAGGATCGCACTGGGAGATACAATCTGCTTTGAAGCCAGGACCTGAATTACATAGAGCTTTATAGGCCAAAACCAGCACCTTGAATTGTGCCTAGAAACAAACTGGCAGCCAGTGGAACTGTTGCAGCAGAGAGGTTGAGCTCTCCCTGCATCTATCCCCAGTTAAGAATCTCTTTGAACCAGCTGAGGTTCTTTGGACTAGTTGAAGCTTCTGAAATTCTTCAAAGGCAACCCCAAGTATAATGTGTTACAGCAATCCAAACTTTGTGACTAAGACCAAATCTTAAGGAAGGGGTAGAGTTGGCACACAAGATTAAAATGTGCAAAAACACTCCTGGCTACCACAGAAACTTGGGCCTCCAGGTTCAACACTGAGACCATGAGGACTCCCAGACTACAGACCTGTGTCTTAAGGGGAAGTGCAATCCCATTCAGCAAAGGCTGAATCCCTATTCCTTGATCCACTTTCCTACTTTTAATCCTGTACCCCTACTCTGGCCGGCCCAGTTTTAATAGTGTCTTGTTGTATTGTTACTGTTATTATTTTCTGCTTAACTGTTTTTAATTTGCTTTAGGTATTGTATTGTTGTATTGTGTTTTGGGGCTTCGGCCTGTGTAAGCCGCATCGAATCCTTCGGGAGATGCTAGCGGGGTACAAATAAAGTTATAATAATAATAATAATAATAATAAAATGACCAGGAACACCTCTGTCTTGTCTGGATTAAGTGTCAATTTGTTTGCCCTCATCCAATTAATTACTCATGACATCTTTATGTCATACTTGCCTCTTCCTATGGATCAAGATAGGGAACCACAGATTAAAAGACAAATAGACATGTAATAGTTAAAAACACAAACACCAATTAAAAGGCAAAATTAGTTTAAAAAGCATAATAAATGCTATTTCAAATATATTTTTATTATTTATATTTTTACTTAAAACCAAGCAATTCGTGATTTAAAAACTCAGTTTGAAAATCAAGTGGATAACCTGCCTGAAGAGATTGCTCTTTAATGTTTCAAACTTAGGCAGTTTATTAATTTTATTCTGGTAATACATTTCACAAATTGAGGGTGGCCAATGAAAAGTCATCTGGTTAACAGTTGCTAGGCTGGTCCTGGCTGACTGAGGTAAATGTCCCCTAGTGTACTGGGTAGATTATACTGAAGGAAGTGATTTCATTAATAACCTGGACTAAAAGCATCTACAGCTTTAACAAGTTTGGAGCTACAGATCCAGAAGCATCCCCAGCTATAAACACAGTCTTTCAAGGGGAGTGTCACTCCATGCAAGACTGGTTGACTCCCCTCCAGCAATAAGCACCTCCATCTTGTCAGTTTATTTTTTTTCCTCATCCAACTCAACTTACCTCCTTTAGGCATTTATCAGAGGAGACATACTATGCTTAGCTGATGCTATTTCTGTAGACATGGAAAAGTGTATTTGAGTATTTATTATCATCGTCATCACCAACCTTCATTACGGTCTAAAGACCCAATTTTCTGCAGTGCAGAAAAAGTGCACAGCAGATTCATCAATTCTAGATGCATTTGGGTATTGTCAATATAATGGCAACTGGTTCCATCCCTCCAGATGGTTCCTCTCAATGTTTTTCACGTAGGGGATTCAATGGCACCTTGTAGCATACTATATAACAGGCCCTTTTTGAGGAGTAGCTATCCCCTAGTACAGTGGTTCTCAGCCTGTGGGTCCCCAATGTTTTGGCCTACAACTCCCAAAAATCCAAGCCAGTTTACCAGCTGTCAGGATTTCTGGAAGTTGAAGGCCAAAACATCTGGGGGCCCACAGGTTGAGAACCACTGCTCTAGTAGAATTATCTGGAATTCACCTGAGAGGTAGTACTAAACCACTGAAGCACAGTCCACTGCAGGCATTTCAGAACATTACTCTAGTTTATGATAATGAATGCTGCTGCAAGATGTAAAAACGCCAACAGGAAAACACTCTCCCATCAGTGCTCAGGTGAAGATCATCCACTAAGGTGGTCTTTGTTTATAAAGCTGAATGTTTGAAAAGCATACAGCTACTTGTGCTAAGGGGTGAGGTCTATACATACGTAGTCAGGGCTCCTTAGCAAAGTGACTCATTATATGCAGTTGCAATAGTTAGAAAAGATTTTATACACACACACACACACATATAATTATAATAAACTACAGTACTTCATTTCAAACATACATCAGTCCTATGTTGTTCATATCTGCCTAAATACTCTGCCAGATCCACCCCACTTCAGTGCCACTGTCTTCAATTGCCATTCCTCTGGGCACTGAATGAGAGACAGCCACCCAGCCAGACACAGCTCCATCATATTGTGGACCAAGCACCTCAAGAAACCCCCTCCCACTTTTTTCAATTATGACAGCTTGTTCTCTTGCCCAACCGAGAAGCACAGGGCATTTAAAATTAATAAAATACTATTAAAAGGTTTATTTTCACAATTTTCCTAAAACCTTATAAATGATGGAAGACACCATGGATCAGGAAATTCAGAATTACTGAATTTATGGGACACAAGACTATAAATATGAGATTATGTGAATCATTTAGCTTGCTGCCATCACAAGGAAACAAAAACAGAAGCACTACATTGGATTGAGCAGAGAATAAATGGGTGCTCAGGGAGAAATGGTGGAAAGGCTCAATGGGAGAAGGTCTCATGAAACAAGCAGGTGAAAGACCCTCCATCCCAAATATTCTGGCCTTGGAGGGAGAAATGAAGCAGCAGTATCTACTTGACTTAATCCCCTTTATTATTGCCATTCCCCTTCTCTGTTACATCTTAATTAGACTGTAAGTCTAAGGCAAATTAATTATTTGTAAGCCTTTTTGGCTGAAAGACAAATACAATAAATAAATAAATACATTTTGCCTTGTGGTTTTGTGCAACTTGCAGAGATTGCATCAAGTGGAAAAGTGAACAAGCGTAACCATTTATTACTTCCTGGTCCTTTCAGGACGTCAATTGAATTGTGCTTTTGTTTTGTTTATTGCTTTTCATTGCAGCTTTCTCCAGAATTCCCTACCACTACTACCTTTGGTCATGAGACCCAAAATGGGTCAATTGATAAGGAGAAGACCCATCCCATATATGACGACCTGGGATCTGGGAGAGGCATGACTGATGACATTTTTGATGAGACATACCGTGAGAAAGAAGGCCCCAAGCCTGTCACAATATATGTCTGGAGGAACATCATCCTTATGTCCCTGCTCCATTTGGCTGCACTCTATGCCATCTGTCTCATACCTTCCACAAAGCCTCTCACCTTGTTGTGGGGTAAGTAAAGGATATATTGATTTTTGAAGTTACTGTCTGATTATTTCCCTCTGTTCCTTGGCTACCTGCTCCTTTAGGCAATATGTCAGAGGTCCCAATATGTCAGAGTAGACTAGCTGTCACCTTCCAGAGATTTCAGACCCCCTGTCCAGAAGGTGCTTGGCTGGTGCATATATTAGTTAGTGGTCTGATTCAAAATAGGGTTCTTTCCTTGAATATGGTTAGCTTGCAACTTCAAAGCAGCTGTTTCTGGGTAAATCTCAGCAAGTGTTAACAATATTTCCAATTGAGCTGGAGAGGAACTCTGTCCAGAAGCAATTCCCAGGGCAACAAAAACATTCAAAAAGCAAACATCTTGCATAGAAAGATAATAAACATCCTATCTCTAAGGCCCTTCCACACAGCTGAATAAAATCCCACATTTTCTGCTTTGAACTGGAATATATAGCAGTGTGGACTCAGATAACCCAATTCAAAGCAGATATTGTGGGACTTTCTACCTTGATATTCTGGGTTATATGGCTGTGTGGAAGGGTCCTGATTCTTCTACTACACATTCTCAAAAGATGCATACTTTCACTTCAAATGGGATGGAGTGTAGCTTATCCAAAATACAGATCTTCTTTAAAAGCTCACAGTATGAGAATATTTTTAGTGCATATATCTCCCAGATGAAATAGATCTTCAAGAGTTTGAGGGATTTTCCATGGCCTCCTGTTATCACGTATCCACAACGGATTGAAATGTGGGTGTGTTTGATGGCAGCCTCAGAAGGAGATGCAGAAATTTTAGGAACTCTGATTAGGTAATTCAGGTAAAGGCAGTCAAAACTGGACTATTTTAGTTGCTTAGGGAAATGAAAATTGAATTGCAATTTGAAAATTCCATAGCCATAGTGACACAGCACGTTATAACTGGAAAACATTACACCTTTTGACAGGACAGTCAGTTCTCAGTCTATTCATCATATGACTGAATGTTTCACTGGAAGTAACAATGGATAAGCTACAAAATAAATGTTTTTCCCATGGATTTTCTAAATAGTCAATTGTGGGATATTGAGATAGGTGGAAGAACAACAATGCCTCTCTTTTTCTGATCTCCATGCTGCTGTGGAGGAGGAGCTCATAAAAGTGTGGCCCACAGATAGTGCTCGATTAAAAATCCCAGAATTACTCAACACGGACTTAGTTAGATGGGGCTGGAAGGAATTGCAACCAAGCAGCATCTATAGAAGTTTGGACTTTGCCTGCCCTTGCCATATAGAAACAGAAGCACAGTCTCCTCTACCTGATTTTCATTTTTTGCTATTTGTTTGGCCCATGTAAGACTGTAAGAGCTAATTTGTTTATTTTCCATTTGATAATGGAAGCAGACAAGTTTGGTATTTGTTTTGAACACAGTTTCCAAAACAATGGTTGTTAGCTGCCTTGAGTCCCCTTGGGGAGAAAGGTGGGGTCTAAATAAAGATGCTTCTGATTTTGAGAATTAGGCAGGGTATAAATTATTTATTTATTTATTTATTTATTTATTTATTTATTTAGAAACAATTTGCTTTGGCAATTTCCCCAAGAAATTGATGTGCAACATGGATAGCATTTTCCTGTATTCATGGTGCGATCATTCTGCCTTTTGAATTGGCAATGTAATATTCCTTTGGCACCATCTCACGGTTTCTGGAATGACCCTGGGAACCGCTTTGAAAGGATAGGCTTGGAGTTAACAGTTATACCATTTCTAGAAATAGTGGTAAGCAATGTCCTGACAACCCACTGAGAACCAAAAATGTTGGCCATCCTCCATAATCAAGGTGTTCCCATCCCAAGTTGGCCATCCTACTTTCATCTGTTTGCAGACTGAGGCTGGATCTACACTGCCATATATTGCAGTTTCAGAATGCCATTTAACTGCATTGACCAACATTATATGACAGTGTGTAGACTCACACAATCCTGTTCAATACATTTAAAATGCACCCTGAAACAGCATTTTGGTAGTGTAGATCCAGTTTGAGCCTTTGACAATAATGCAGGTGTAGACCAGTAAGTAGCAGTCATTCAGAGAAATCAGGAAGGAAACTCATTGCCATCAAGCAGCTATCCCATGATTGTACGGTTGCTACTTTCTTCATGACACTAAAGAACCAAGAGCATCAAGTGGTGGTTTTATTCAGAGCAGTGTCAATAAGTGGTGTTCTTGGCAACTGGTTGATTTTCACCATCACCTTCCAGGCACAAGAGTGTTATTTGTGTCAAGAGTCCTTTGAGCATCATAGTAGTACATGTGAAGAGTGTCCATGAGTTGTCTACATATATGACCACCATATGTTTGCAGAAAAATGACTTTTTGTAAGAAGACAAATCTTATTATAGTGCACATTCCATTCATGGGAATAAATATTTATTTTCAATTAATTTAATTGCCCTGCTAGCTCAGTAAACATCTTGAGCAATGATCAATCTTATGTGCCCCCAAGGAACCCTGTTGGTTCTGGGAAATTGACACTTTTGTTTGATGCTTTGTTTCATGTTTGATATAATAGGTTGCATTTGCAATTTAATTTTACTTGTTGAGTTACAATTTGCTTTTATATGTTGGGTTGTCAATTTTCGTTATTATGTGTGTATTGCTTGTTATGTTCAGGCATTGAATGTTCGCCTTTTTATGATTGGAATCCTCCCTGAGTCCCTTTGGGGAGGTAGGGCAAAATATAAATAAAGTTTTATTATTGTAATTTTTATTATTATTAATCCTTTGTCATTTCATTCTTCATGCCATTGTTTATAGCAGGGGTCCTCAAACTAAGGCCCGAAGGCCGGATACGCCCCTCCAAGGTCATTTACCTGGCCCAGGGTCAACCTAAGTCTGAAATGACTTGAAAGCACACAACAACAACAACAATAACAATCCTATCTCGTTAGCCAAAACCAGGCCCATACTTCCCATTGAAATACTAATAAGTTTATATTTGTTAAAATTGTCCTTCATTTTAATTATTTTATTGTTTTAAAGTGTTTTTTGAACTATAAATAAAATATTCAAGTGTGCATAGGAATTCATTCATGGGACTGAGTCTCCGAGTCACTGGGTAACTTTGAGTAAATCACAGTCTTTCAGTCTCAGAGGAAAGCAAAGGCAAAACCCTTCTGAACAAATATTGCTAAGAAAACCTTGTTGCCATAAATTGGAAATGGCCTGAAGGTATACAGAAACAAAATGGATATAATGTCCTCCTGACACTTTCTTTCCTACACTTTTCTTATCTGCAGCTTTTTTATGCTTCATCTTGAGTGGTCTAGGAATCACAGCTGGAGCGCATCGGCTTTGGAGTCACCGGTCTTACAAAGCTACCTTGCCTCTTCGAATATTCTTAGCTGTTATTAACTCCATGGCTTTCCAGGTAAGAATGACTCAAGAGACAATACAAGTAAATCCAAGACTTATTGATATGTGTATGTGTCAAGCAGAGCTTCTCATCACTTGCAGCTCTGCTCTGTAAGATACTAGTCATTCTTGGCAACAATAATGGCAAATGCATGAGATCATAACTAATGTGAGCATTTGGATTTAGTTTGAAATGTGCTGTGATCCAGCAGAATTTAGAGATTGATATTCTGGGCTTCTCTTGATTGGCTAAATATGTTGGGACATGGTGGCTTTCATTGCTGTACTGAGAGTTTTTAATTTTGAGATGCTATTAAGCCAGTGTGGCACTCCACCACAATAGTTTTTGGTATTAATAAAAAAAGGTTTGTTGAACAAGCATTGAATGAGATTGTCTACTTCAAATCCTAGCTAATGTGTTTGATTTTCATTTAGAATGACATTTATGAATGGGCCAGAGACCATCGTGCCCACCACAAATTCTCTGAAACAGATGCAGATCCCCACAATGCAAGTCGGGGCTTTTTCTTTTCTCATATTGGCTGGTTGCTGGTACGAAAACACCCTGATGTCATAGAGAAGGGACAAAAGCTGACTCTTGCTGATCTGAAGGCTGATAAAGTTGTGATGTTCCAGAGAAGGTAAGCAGACACTGAAATGAAGAAGAAGATGATAGTTTCTGGGAAGAGAACTTAGTTTTTATCAAAGATGCCTACTATACAGTATGTTTTACCATAAAGTCGACCAATCTATCAGCTCTTTGTCGAAGGCTTTCATGGCTGGAATTACTGGGTTGCTGTTAGTTTTCTGTGCTGTCTGGCCATGTTCCAGAAGCATTCTCTCCTTACGTTTTGCCCACATCTATGGCAGGTATATTCAGAGGTTGTTGGAAACTGGGCAAGAGGGGTTTATATATCTGTGGAATGTCCAGGGCGGGAGAAAGAACTCTTGTCTGCTTGAGGCAATTGTAAATGTTGTAATTGGCCATCTCTTTAACTGAGCAATCACTTCTTTAATTGATAAACTGATCCAATTGATTAAGAAGTATGTAATTTGCTTGGGAAGAGCAGTTGTAATTTTCCAAACAATATTTTTGCTGTATAAGAATAATACATTTTGCTTATTGTCTCTGTATTATCGCCCACTTCTTCCAGTGTGTCAGAATAAGATATATATTGAGGCAAATTGTCAGTTAAGAGATTAAGCAACAACCAAGCCTTGAATTTCTAATGAGACAAAAGTATCTAGAATGATTGGTAATTGCAATTATTGTTCACATTTTGAATATTCTCAGTTTCTCAGGGCGAAATCCTAGAGAAAACATGAGACTGTGCTAAAAATTCAGATGTTGATATGTTACAGTGCTAAATGCTATGTCACCTCATCTCCAAACACTTCACTAAGTACAACACATCCCTCTTTCCTTTCAGGTTTTATAAGCCATCTGTGGTGATCATGTGCTTCTTGATACCTTCGCTTGTGCCTTGGTACTACTGGGGAGAATCCTATCACAACAGCTTCTTAATAGCTGCCATCCTTCGCTACACAGTGATACTCAATGCCACCTGGTTGGTGAACAGCGCAGCCCACATGTATGGCAACCGGCCCTACGATCGACATATCAACCCCAGACAAAACCACTTGGTTGCATTTGGAGCCTTAGGTATGCTGGGGTTACAGAGCTGTGTTGGGTGGGGCTGCGTTTTTCTTACTCTGCCATTATTTTTACATCAGATCCTGAAATTCTTAGAAAGAGGGAAGGAAACAGACAAGGCCTTTTTGTTCTTGCCTCATTTCTGGCTCCCTGTTCAAATCATGGCAGAGTTGAAAGGGATTCCTCCTCACCCTTTCCCTTTGCTTGATTTGTATTGACTATCTGAAAGTTTTGTTTATTTCTTGTCTCACTTTTCTTGTGTGTCGATGCCTTCAACTTGCCTTTTGACTTATGGTGACCTTATGAATTCTTAGGCAAGTAATACTCAGAGGTGGTTTTGGCAGTTCCTTCCCCTGAAATGTAACATACAGCACCTAGTATTCATTGCTCGTCTCCCAGGTAAGGCCCAAATACTAATTGGGGCTGATTCTGCTAAGCTTCCAACATCAGATGGGATCTGGTGTCTTTAGGGCTGTGGTTAGTACTTGAAGGGGGGACTGAGAAGGATACCAGCTGCTGTATGCCTGAGAAAACTTAATGAAATTTCATGAGGTTACAGTAAGTCATTAGGCAACTTACACATATCCATCCTGTTGCCTTTCCCTTATTCCCAGCCAGGAAGAATGGCAGTCAGCTTTCTGTCTTCAGAGAGGCCACCTCCAAAGATACCAGATATAAGAGCATGGGGTCACAAAATGCTTGACTGCACTAATTTAAGATTAAAACTTAGGCTGGAAAAATGTATTTTCCTTCCAGACCCCTAGATAGTAGGGCTGTCCAACCACAGAAAAATTTGTTTCTAAACTCGATTCGTTTTTAGGGGGTTTTTGCGTTTCATTACTTAAAAGAATTCTGAATTTTTTCTTTTAAAAAGTTCAATATTTACGAAATTTCGAATTTACGAAATTTCGTAAAATTACGAATCGATTCGTTAATGGCGGACGCGATTGCGCAATATGCTAAAAAACCCTCCAAATGGGACAGGGGGAACTTCTGAAGCTTCCCTCTCCCTCTGTTGTTGACTGTTGGTGTGATAATTTATTTTTTATCACTGATAAAAAAACAACAACTATAAAACTTGCACCAGACATACGGAAATAATAACGAAATAATAACGAAACAATTACGAAACAATTACGAAACAATTACGAAACGAATTGGAAAAATTCGTTTCGTTTTTTAGTTGCTCCTGAATGGTTCAATATCGCTTTGTTATAAAAAAAATAACGAATTAATAACGAATTACGAAATTAACGAACGAAACCGCCCAGCCCTAGATAGTACAGTAGCCCAACATTGCACTATTCTAGCTGCAGGGAGAATGAAAAGGCCACAGTGCTGTAGGGCAAGAGTGCAACCGATCCTTGAAAAATACAGTGTTTGCAAGATCCAATGACAATAGCATATCACTTGGGAAAATCCCTTTTGGAAAACAATTTCCAGGGGACAGTCATGCTCTATGTCTTAAAATATGTAAAGTAGCCAGATGCAAAGGAGACACGTACTGCTGTTTCACCTTTTAAATAATGGTACAGAGAGCACTTAAGCAGTTTACATGACAAGCTACACCTAATGAACCCCCCTTCTCCATAGTTATTACAAAGTGCAGAAGCCCTGCTCTCTTTTGATTCTGGTCATCCCTATCCTACCATGCTCCCAGCAAGTTGAGTCCTAAAGAAAAGAGGAAGGGTGAAATACACAGTGCTTTTGACTTTATGTACTGAGAATGAAAGGTGTTTAGAGATGGGTCTAGTAAGCTTGAAAATAAGCAGAGTTGTTTCTGACGTAGTTTTAGGCAGGCTAGATTTTTCTCAAATCACCTTGATGCAAGATGAGCAGAAAGTTGCTCCTCTCTATCATCTCCCACCAACTCTTCCCAACAACACTGGGATGTGGAACTATCCACGTGTTGTAGTGATGGTTCCACATCCCTATGAGACTGGCGCCCACCTTTTCCATTCTATCTGTTCCATCTGGCATGGGTGAGATTTCAATTCTTCCTGTGAAAACCCTGGGCAAAGCAAAATAGGTTATTCTTTTTGCCAACATTGAGTGAGGTGGGAGAAGCTACATACACTTTGCTAGTTGCTGTGTGACTGTGGATTAAACAGACAATCATCTCCTTAATCACAGCCTTTGGGTGTCCCTCCTATTGTAATAACAAATGTTGTTGTTTTGTCTCCTGGCTTTTTTTGTTTTGCCTGCCCATGCCCATCCAGCATTTTTCCTGGTAGAGGCATGATGTAAACAAACAAAATAAACAAATTAATATCACCAACAGAAAGGGAAATGCTATCAGATTATCTGTGTTCCACCCCTTCAGATATGCAAATTCCAGTTAGTAGTTATCTTGGGTAGTAATGATTGAAGTTATTATACATATGTGATGCTCTATGCATTGTGCACTTTTGTATTAGGGAGACCGACATCTCATCTACAGATACACCAAAATCCAGAGCATCATTGGGAACAGAGTCTGAACTGTCCAGTCTGCCCAAAACTAGTTTAACCCTGCCATCATTCTTACCTGACTTGTTATTTCTGTCACAGTGGCAGGTGACAAGAGAGCTCCAGAGATCACCTGGCAATCTCTTGAGAGCCTTTGCCAGGCACCTTTGCCAGAGCTCACTGGCCAGCTGCCACTGTAATGTGAAGGCATGGCCGTGATGTATCCCATTTCCCCTTTGGTGCCAAGTGCAAGTGAAAGGGGATAGCAGCGCTGGGCTGTGTGGACAGCAGACTGATTTGCTTTAGAGCTAGTGGTGCTGTCCACATTAACCCACAATTGCAGGCTGCTCACCGCTTTGGTGTAATGTGGGGTAAAACTGGATTATGAGATGAGTAAAGGAAGGATAAGGCAAGTATGGGTATTCATCTCTAGAAACATCTTATGTTAACCAAAGATAATCAATTGAAAAACAATAAACAGCAGTAGAAAGAAGGGTTTTTCTGTCTATAGGAAGGTTCTCAAGATGTGGTTCATGTGAACTATGGCTTTAACTTTGAAATATGTTTTAATGTTTTTAACTGGGAATATTTTAATACTGTTTACATTTAATCCTGTATTAATGTTTGCGTATTTGCATATTTTAAGTTGTATGCTAATATTTTCATGTTAAGCTGCTCTGAATCTCCTTCGGGAGAGATAAAGTGGGGTAATAACAACAACAACAATAAATAAATAAATAATAGGCCTATGCAGCAGATGCCCCAAAAGAGGATTTTTCCTTTGATTTTCTATTATTTGAAAATTAATTGAATGTATTTGTGAGGAGTCCATAGCTTCAATTATATTTTGAAAGTTTCTGTGACAAAAATAAAATAAAATAAGAAGCACTTGTAATGCAGTTTATCCTCTGCTAGAATAGAGATATTGACTAGAATAGCCTGCCTTCAAAAAATCTCAAAACAAACACTAGTTTCTAGGGAAAGTAGTTATAGACATGACATGTCTTTTCTTGTTTCTCTTCTAGGTGAAGGCTTTCACAACTACCACCATACTTTCCCCTATGATTACGCAACCAGTGAATTTGGCTCACGGTGGAATTTCACTACAGTTTTCATTGATAGTATGTGTTACCTTGGCTTGGCGAGTGACTGTAAGAAAGTGTCCAAGGAGCTCATCTTGGCCCGTAAAATTCGGACTGGAGATGGTAGTCACAAGACTGGTTGATGTTCTGGTTTCAGCACTTCTCTTGTTTTCCTTTTTTCTTCAAACAACCTGGGCATACATTCAATGTTCTGTCTACTAATTAGCAAGCAATGCTTTCAGGATGCTCAAAGTGATGACGCTAACCCATTCCAGTATTGTACTTTGAAACAATGTCTGTAGGCCTTTAATATTCTATTTAATTATCTAGGGGACTGGTTTGTCTCTGTTGTTGTTTACTCTTATGCTCATGTTCTCTCCCCCCTCCCCTTTTCTTTCTTTGCAATGTTATAAACTAGTCAAGTCTTTTCACCTATGGTTTCGTTGCATCTGTTAAGAGGGACTGAGCTGACAACATGGCACCAAAGTAAGGACTATCACATCTTGATTGCCCTGCTTCCTGCCTTTTTAAGCTTAGATAAAAAGAGAGGGAGCTATTCTATCTTTTATTATTATTATTATTATTATTATTATTATTAGTAGTAGTAGTAGTAGTAGTAACAGAAGCAGTAGCAGTAGCAGTGGAGAGAACTATGTGTTTGATACCTCTATGAGATTCTCGATTCCTTTAGCGATTGAGAAAAGGGGTGGATGTGTGATGTAAAGGCTAGGGATAGAGTAGGAAAGGAAGATGTCTTTAAGTAAGGACAGCAGCCAAGGCTACAAGACAGACCCAAAGTCAGAGACGAATTTTATTAGTTGGAACTGGGGAATCTGTTTTCCTCCATCAGCACAAATGTTGTGATTGCTGTTTCCCTACACCCGAGTCCTAACCTAGGAGACAAGAAGTCTAGGCAGGATTTTAAGGTTGTTATGAGACAAGCCTAGACTAGGGAAAATAGAGATGCTTTAAGGGTAGACATAAATATACACTAAAGGGATTTTTCTTAAAAGGAAGGAGAGCGTGGGAGGGATTTGAACCAAAGTTGCACCACAGACTCAAACTGCTTTATGTGCTAGAGGAATGAGTTTAGGTTTAGATAAAGAGAGATGTGTTTTCAGGTATATGTAATGACACAGCCATTCTGTTCAGCACAACACAGCAGCTGAAGTCCATACTCAGCACTCCAAGGACCACCTAAGACTAAAGGGCTAAGAAATAGCTACATTTCTCATTGGAGGAGTTTTACAATGTATCTGGAAGATCTAGGAAGTATTTATTTCTATGATTTCTTTTATTCCTGTATCAGGCAGTAACTTCACTGCTGCTTATATCTCATTTTTATTTCACTCTTTCTTTGGAACTGACAAATTCTTGGGGAGAAGATGCCTTTCACCTCGCCACACTTCTCCTTGCTAGAGAGCAGCTGAAGGGTGAGGGAGGGGCTGCTAGTAGCTGATTGTACTATTTGTCATGGCATCATAAGGGATACTAATTTTGGTATATAGGTTACCAAGAAAAGAGGACTTTTGCTGATGGAGCATATTAAAAGGTTATATATTACACTTTTCTTCATTAGTATACCTTTGGGCCTATCTACACTAACCATATAATGCAGTTTGAAACTAGTTTCAAACTGAGGCGGCTAGATAACACACCGCCAAAACATGCTACAACACAGGTTTTTTTTCTTTCAGGAGCGACTTGAGAAACTGCATGTCGCTTTTGGTGTGAGAGAATTGGCCATCTGCAAGGATGTTGCCCAGGGAATGCCTAGATGTTAGATGTTTTTACCATCCTTCTGGGAGGCTTCTCTCATGTCCCCGCATGGGGGGCTGGAGCTGACAGAGGGAGCTCAACCCGCTCTCCCCGGATTCAAACTACAGTCCTGCCAGCACAAGGGTTTAACCCATTACACCACCGGGTTTAAAGTCTTTAACACAGTTTAAAGACGTTAAAGCATGTCAAGCAATGCCAGGATAAGCCCCTGGATGCACCTCAGTGAGCCCCAATTGTACACCACATTGTGTAGTGAAATTGGCTGTGAAATGGTGTGCATCTTGCTGTGAAATGGGGAAAAAACCCATATTCTCTGGCTGCTCTAAAGCCGCAGATATTGCAGATTCTGACACCAGTTTAAGGCCATCTTCTGTGGTTAATGTAATCACATTCCTGGCATTGAACCTTTTCCAGATATGTCAGTCTAATCATCCACACAGCAAACTGGTTCCAAACTGACCTAAATGGTCAATGTAGATGTGCCCTTGTTTGTCCTCCCAGTTGAGAACCATTGTGCCTACAAAATCCCATTCTGCTTAATATCTAGTTACCTAATTATAAGTGCTGTGTTTCAAGTAATGTAAAAATCCTGGATTATATATAATGTATTAATTTATCTAACAATATGTCAATAATCAATATGTCGATTAAAGAGAAGTTTGCACTGGCTTTTGATTCTCAACTGAGAGTTTTAGCATAAGATTTCATATTTTACTTTCCATAGTAGAACAATGCTTAGCTGATATATTGACACTCTCTTTGAGGTTTATGTTAATTGGATATGGAAAGGATTCTGAGTCAGTCCCATTTACACCAACATTAGCTGGTATAACAGAGTTATTGGACAGTTGTGCTCTGCCTATGTATCAGTTTACCATATAGACTCATGTATAAGTCAACCTCATAAGTAGAAGGCAGGTTTGGGGACAAAAATTGTGGATTTTGGTGTAGCCTGTGAATAAGATGGGAGTCATTCTGCAGAGAGAAAAGTTCCTGCACCACCCCAAAGGGCCAGTGGTGGAGAGCATATAGGGGATCAGTGCTTCTTTCATCTTCTATAGGGAAAGACTACGTTCTTGCCTTTCACCACTCTATTCAGAAAAAGGTTCCTTTTTGGGATAAGAGTTAAGGCACAATGCTTACATGGATAAGTTGGCCCAGGTTTTTGCGGCTGATTTTTGACTAGAGTTTCTCGACTTATACTTGAGTATAAAATGTATTTAAATTTGAAGTATTCACCAGTAAAGCTAAATAATAATCAAATTTCAACTCAATAGAAATCGAAACACAGTTGAAACCCATCTAAGGACCACTTCTTTGCTCTGAAAAGCTTGGTCTTAAACCAAATGCACGCCTGTGCATTTTGCTCTGAAGTAAATACATTTGATGTTTCACTTTTGCAGGTTTTACTTTTGCAGATGTGTTTTTTTTCTAGTAATTCCTAGAGCAGTGGTTCTCAACCTGTGGGTCCCCAAGTGTTTTGGCCTACAACTCCCAGAAATTCCAGCCAGTTTACTAGCTGTTAGGATTTCGGGTAGTTGAAGGTCAAAATATCTGGGGACCCACAGGTTGAGAACCACTGCTCTAGAGATTCCTAGAGATAATGCCTCTCTAAGAAACTGTAGGTTCTCTAGTGTGACTTTTTGATCAACTTCTGATGGACCATAGATGCGCAGAGATGTTCTCTATCAGGATAAAAAAAAAAACCACATTTTAAAAAAAATATTCAGCTTTTGCATTTCTGTTGGGGTGCTGTGCTCTTAACCTGAGCAAATGTAGAAGGCTGGCCATATTATGTTTAATAGGGCTTACTTGTTATGTTTAATTTTCAGTTTAAAGGATTGTATGAAAAATGCAGTCTTCCTTTATGTAGCATTGTGGTGAAGAGTGAAAGGCTTCACCCAGGATTTATCTCCACAGTTCTTTAAGTTCAGTCAGTATCACTTACTGTTTCCTATCCAGTTTCTTCTAATTTATAAACCCCAGAGGCTGTGTACCTTCAAATACCAGTTGAGGAGGGTTCAAAAATAGTGTGGTAGCAGATAACGTGACTTTCTTCCTCCATTTAATAGGTTTCTATGGGCATCTGGCTGGCCATTGTTACAAATAGGATGGGCTAGATCAGTGGTTCTCAACCTGTGGGTCCCCAGATATTTTGGCCTACAACTCCCAGAAATCCTAACAGCTGGTAAACTGGCTGGGATTTCTGGGAGTTGTAGGCCAAAACACCTGGGGACCCACAGGTTGAGAACCACTTAACTAGATGAATGCTGACTCATTCCTATCCAGGTTCTGTGTAGACATTGCTGAATTTGAGTAGAATAGACACCCAAGAGGAAATGCTTCCTCTGTTGTCATTTTGTACTGTGGAAGGTGACTCTCCAGGAAAACTATTTCTACATAAAAAGAGCAGAAAAGTGCAGGATGGAAGTTGGGTTTTCTTTTGGTCCTTTTTCCTGAGTGCTGTTAAACTTTGGTCTCATCTACACTACCTAAACATCTAAACTCACCTCAGATTGAAGTCTGTCTTTTTTCATGGTGCACAGCTGCTTCCAGGATCTTAGGAGAGGGTTTTGCTGTTGTATTTAAATAGGTGTTGCTTTGCTTTAGGAAAAGTTGGGAATACTGGAAACTCTGGATCATCCTGCAGCGTGAAGATAGTCTGGGCAGCTGGATTAAGGCTGATCTGAACTAATTGGCTGTCCAGAAAGGAAACCACCAGTAGCAGCCTTTCCCTGTGCCCATCATAATTGCTTCTCCTAGCTGGCCATGGCACACCATAAGCGCTCCTGACCATTGCAGGTGCCTGTATTGACATCAGAACGAAATGCCCATGTGCCCAGCCTGAAGAATGTGGGAGCAATTCCCCTTCCTTCTCAATTGCCTTGTTTTGATAGCATCACACAATCTGCTCATCTACCCTCCTTCATTCTGTTAGCCTTCAGTGATATCAGAATGGGATGCCCATGCAATTGGGATGCAGGAGGGGGATTATCCCTTCTTCATGCTTGTTGCGTGGGTGCCCCATTCTTATGTCACCAGATATGTCTGCATGGTCAAGAGTTTGCACTGAACTCTGGCCAGCTAAGAAAAGCATCGGTGGAAACACAGAGGAGGTTGGGTACACACCACCCCAACAGATCAGATGCAGTCCCTGGCAACATAAATAATGGCCCCCAGATTTGGCACGACGGCACTGGGTTAAACTGCCAGGCGTATACCTTAGGAGGGCTCTGCAGTGGATCATACCTTGAGCAACCTTTCAATAAGATTTGTTACTTGGCACCAAAAGTGAGATTTTTCTTTGTTGAAGCCAGTTTGCTAAATACTGATTGTATCACCTGAGGCACTTCATCATTTTTAAAAGATGAGTACAAGGAACTGAAAAACCCTCATGCACTTTGTTTCTTTCACTTGTGCAGCTAGATCTGTGGGAATGCTATGATCTCAGGCAGCCTTGACTCTCCTGCACACACTTCAGTTTTGCTTTGCTTTTCCTAAGTACATCTTCAGAGAGTCATGGAAACTCTTGTTGAGATCTACTTTGGGCCTCTACACACATTAAAGCTTTCACTGTGCAATTAAAGCTAGACATACTTCTAAAATTGTAAAGTGTGGAAAGGACAAAGGAATGTACTTCATGCAGATAGGCATATCAAAAGGCCAGTACAGGTTATATTTTCCTCTTCCGCATGAACTTAATGGCAAATTCAAAAGTTTTGTGATGTGGTAGGTGAAGCAGCCCTCACTCTTATGGAGGCCATTCAGGAGAGATTCATGGAGTGGTTGTTCCCTCACTCCACAAATGTGTCCTGAACACGACATTGGTACTGAATGTCCGTATTTTTGAATCCACTGACTTGGCTTTCACAAATCCCTTGGTTGTGCTCATTTGTGGTAATGCAAGGTTAAAACCAGGGTTATTCCCCATTCATAATAATATCAGGCTACACATAAGAAATAAAAACTGATGCTTCTTCCAAACTGGTCCTGGAAGAAGAAGAATAACAAATCTTTTCTATAATCACAATGGCCTTTCCCTCACACAAATATTTGTTAGTGCTGTTGAGTTGTTAACTCATAAGGACTATGTGAATCCAAATGTTTGGTTGTGGAGTGAAAGTAAGTATACAGTTCCCAGACTTTTTAGTAAATAGACAACTATTTTGATGTGCCTTAAGGTTTTCTTTAACAGACATAGGAGTATCGAGAGCTCTTGGCAGTATATTACATTCATCTGTCCAAAATTATTTCTGAAGAGCCTTTGCAGAGGTTTATATTAACTACTCACTGGAAATAAATTGTGAGTACATGAGTGTGTGTTGATTTTTAATGTAGTTGTTAAGGAATGGTTATACCATTTAAGTAGAGACTTGTTTGCTTTTCTTAGTGTGTAATGCAGATTAGATCTAGGATACTTTTTCCTGCTCTAGGTGCTTCCAGTGGAGGCTTTGAGTGTGCAGTGCCTGCGCCATATTTGCATGTTTTACTTTTACAGAAGACTCCAGACAGATCTGCCATCCTTTTGTAACCCTTCCAGGTTTTCTTGTTTTGTTTCCACACACAGACAACATCCACTAAGAGGGGGAAAAGAGCTAAACAATGCCTTTTCAGAGGCACCTGTCTGGAAACATCCTCTGTTTTTTGCTGGTATGCAGTGAGTAAAAAATTGGACAGGCAATTGAAGCAAGCCAAAGAAACAGTTTGAAAATTGGGAATCCAGGGTTGCTGGTTTTAGGTGTTTCTTAGATTTATTTTGAAAGCAATAGACAAGCCTTTTCTGTTTTCTTTTGCTTGCATTTCCTTATGTACAAAAGGACAACGTCCCTGGAAGCTCCCGCCTTTAAAGGGGGTACTAATGCGGTATGATGTGTGAAGATGTAAGTCACTCTTTTAACTATTTGCTATTAAGTTGGCTTACATCTTTGTCCTTCTGCTTCTCTGGTTTATGAGTGAAAGGAAGCATTTGTTAGACCATTCAAATAGCAGTAATGCTGGCAAGTAAACGACTTCCTTGCCCTTGTTTGAATCTGGGAAACCAAATGCCTGTAGGGACTGTGAAAAATAATGTGAATTGTCTAGCTCTGGTGTTCTTGAAGTGTTTGTAGAATCTTTGCTTTTTCATTTCTAATATTTTTATGTTTTATGTAATAAAAACAATTTCTGCTAATATTGAACTCAATGGCTTATTATGCAGATCTGAACTTTGTTTTTTTTCCTGCTTATAATAAAATGGTTGATTTTTCAAATTTGACTTGCTTCCTTTGATGGCATCAGTATATGTTCCTAAGTAAAAAAAATTCCATGTCAGGAGCAACTTGAGAAACTGCAAGTCATTTCTGGTGTGTCTGCAAAGACATTGCCCAGGGGACACCCGGGTGTTTTACCATTCTGTGGGAGAATTCTCTCATGTTCCTGCATGGGAAGCTGGAGCTGACAGATGGAAGCTCACGCCTCTCCCCAGATTTGAATTGCCGACCTTTCAGTCAACAGTCCTATCAGCATAAGGGTTTAACTCATTGCTTCATCGGGGGCTCCTTATTCCTAATTAAGAGGCAATACATAAGCCTGAGCACTTGTTTTGAGGTAGCTATGAATTCTCACCCTGCTCCCTGGGTTCGAACCGCCGACTTTTCAGTCAGCAGTCCTGCCAGCACAAGGATTTAATGCATTGCACCACCAGGGGCTCCTCATTCCGAAATATGAGAAAATACATAAGCCTGATCACATGTTTTGAATTTTCCCCTCTCTGTTTGTCTCCCTTTACCAAATTTCATTTTTAACTTTTGGTTCCTCTGAAGGAAAGATGTCTGAAGTTTTATGATGTCTTTGTAAAAATTGGTCACAATACAGAGCAGTGTAGAAGTTGTGAGTTTGCTAGGAGTCTAAAAGAGCAGGGTTTGTATCAAGCATGGACCTTGGGCAAGCCACACTATCTCAGCCTAAGAGAAAGACAATGGCACATCTCGGAATAAGTCTTGCCGGGAAAACCTCATGATGGGGTTTCTGTCAGAGCAATTTTGAGGAGATAGAATAACAACAGCAAACGCAGCTGGATCAAAAGGATTAGGAAAGCAGCAGCAGACAGAAAAGAAAGGCAGACCGAGTTCCATTAAGAAAGAGGGCAGGCCCCTAAATTACAATGTTCAGAGCTCCCTGGTTCCTGCTCAACCAGCTTCCAGTTTCAATTTTGGACAGCTTATTCCAAAAAAGGTCTCCATCCATAAACCCCCAAGATGTCTTGTTTGGTTGCCTAACATGTCAGGACACAGGAACCCTTTCCATATTTCAAACTGGCTTAAATTGTTCCTTTAATCAGTAAATGTCATTGCCTAGGGCTTTAAGGATGTAATGTATCCATGAATTACGTGGCCTGGAAAAAAGATCATGAATGACCTGTTTTCAATGCTTTCATTTTGCAGTAATGTGCACCTTTCAGTCTCGCTCATGTATATAGAAATCCAACCATAATCCAGACTGGGGTTTATTTCAGTTTAAAGGTTTTCAAGGCTCCAGGGATGTGGTGCCAACCCTAAAACATGCATCTGAACATGAAACATTCCCGGATCAGTATTTTGCAGCCAGCTGAGCCTGAGTCAACATGTCCCTTGAATTCAGTCATATAAAATTGCAAAATGACAGTGGAGGAAATTTCCTTCTGAAGCAAGGCACCATACAAGTCCTGGCCTGATGAACTGAGCAGCTCAAGAGGAATTGTGAGGAAACAGGAACATCATCCTTCCTGCTTCTACTCAATCACAGTCTCCTTTGCACACAATTGTAAATGTACACTATTGGTTAAAAGCTCTTATCATCCTGCTAAATTTACAGAAACAAGACCAGAATTGAATTCTTGGCCAATTACACTCCTGTTAACAATACTTCCGTGAACAGGTGGCTTCTGCTGCCTAGCATTACTGAATCATGAAACATGTATCATAGAATCATAGAGTTGGAAGAGACCTCGTGGGCCATCCATGAGACCTCGTGGGCCATCCATGTTTTAATATTCTTGTTATGGTTTTATATTATGTGTTAATCTTTTTAAATGTTTTGTGGTATTTTTGGGCATTGAATCATTGCCATTGTAAACCGCCCTGAGTCACCTGAGGGCTGAGAAGGGCAGTATACAAATACAGTAAATAAATAAATAAATAATCCAGTCCAACCCCCTGCCAAGAAGCAGGACAGTCATATTCAAAGCACTCCCAACAGATGGCCATCCAGATGATGGCCATCTGATGTATCAGATGATTTTTTTATTGTGTCCAATTCTGGGCACCACAATTGAAGGGAGATATTGACAAACTGGAATGTATCCAGAAGAGGGCAACTAAAATGATCAAGGGTCTGGAGAACAAGCCCTATGAGGAGCGGCTTAAAGAGCTGGGCATGTTTAGCCTGAAGAAGAGAAGGCTGAGAGGAGACATGATAGCCATGTATAAATATGTGAGAGGAAGTCATAGGGAGGAAGGAGCGAACTTGTTTTCTGGAGATTAGGACAAAGAACAATGGCTTCAAACTACAAGAAAGGAGATTCCATCTGAACATGAGGAAGAACTTCCTGACTGTGAGAGCCATTCAGCAGTGGAACTCTCTGCCCCGGAGTGTGGTGGAGGCTCCTTCTTTGGAAGCTTTTAAACAGAGGCTGGATGGCAATCTGTCGGGGGTGCTTTGAATGCAATTTTCCTGCTTCTTGGCAGGGGGTTGGACTGGATGGCCTATGAGGTCTCCTCCAACTCTATGATTCTAATAGGACTGTCAGCTCCTAAATTTGGATATTTGCTGGTCACAAGATTCAGTCCGTATGCTTGCAATATGATCCCTAGTGCCTTTTCTTTTCCTGAGCTCAGCTTGGATATCTGGCAATTCTCATTTCATGTATGGCAGTAACTACCAGTATAAAAGATGCTATAGAAAATAAAAGAAGTCTCTATACATCTGGAGATACTTGCAGGCCAAGCACTGTGGTGCATTAACAGAGCATCCCTTCACCCTAGAGTTAAACACAAAAGGCAGACAAATTGCAATTAGAGCAGGACAGCAGTGTCTTTGCTTTGGATATAGCACATGGCATCACTCCTTTCCTACTGCTGTCCTGGGAGGTAGGGGCAGAACAGCCTTGACCTATAAAGCCCTTGTAATATGTCTTGGATCCGGGTTGTTTAAAGAATTAGATTTCCTTCTCTGTAATGCATCTCATCAGTATCGCCGCAGAACCAATTCGGACAGAGACTGGAAAACACAGTGTTTCAAATGCTAGCTAGAATCCATATCCTTGCCCTTGTCCTTCCACTCCACAAACACACCCCATCTTGCAATAATTTTGATCTTATTGCTACACCACTGTTTAACATATTTAAGGGTGACTTTAAATCCGTAAGGCTAGGGAAAGACTAACCCATAGTTGAGAACAGGCGGCTGTGAGTAATTCAGTGAAAGGGAGGCTTTGATGCCCATTGGCCGAGACAGAGTCAGACAAGGAAGTTGGGTGCTGATTGGCCACCCTGCAGTCAGGAGCTGTAGCCTGTTACGAATGCAAACCACAACCTGTGACTGATAGTAACCTCTTCAGAGCTCAACAGCAGGTCAGGCCAGCCCACATCATTCATGTGCTCTCATTTTGCCACAGAGGCGACTCTTCTTGCA